TTTACTCTGGCATAACTGACACCCATCTTGCCATAAAAATCCAAGTTGAGATAAGGCTCTCTGGTTTTTACCACAGTGGGATTTAGTGAGACCAACCTCAGATTGGAGGTATAAGCACTGACTTCATATAGTTATAGCAAAGTCAGGCTTGCTTGTCCTGTATCTCCACTGTGATTTTAGAGGAAGTTAGATGCATATTGTAAACTTGTGTACATCTAAATGAAGTTGAAGTGATTTGGATCCTGCAAGGGCCTGCTAGTTGCCAATAGATTACGCTGTATGATTACTATCCAATTCCTGCAGTTCGTTCAGTAGAAAATTACTTTCCCACATACTCCTCCTCCTGTGCTCTTAGATGTGTCTTCCTTTTTGAACACTCCAGGCATGTGGAGAATATTCTGATAGTGTTTGAGTGATGTTATAGCAGTGATGGTTCAGGAATTATGCAAAAGACGAGTTTTTTGGGGGAGTGATATCTTTTATTGGACCAACTGTGTGCCTGGAATAAAGTTAGATGAGCTTTCAAAGACAAGGCATTCTGTATCAGATGACCTGATATATAATGTCTTGTCTTTTGAAAGCTTGTCTCGCTTTATTGGACCAATAGCATGGTTGGAATAAAAGATGTCACCCAAAAAAATCCCTGAGCATCTTCTGAGTGACTGTCATATACAATGAGATTATGTAACTGTTTCTTGTTGATGTTCCTAAATTTCAAGTTCCTGATCCTTCTTCATTGCCCCCGACCCCACCCCCACCTTCAGCACATGTAGTATTTCTGTCTGGATTTTTTTCACATGAGTAACGATTGCTACTGTTCTTTTGAGCTATAGCTGTATATGTATTTATATACTTGCTAGACCTTGAGCTTACTGGGACCTCATTATCTCTGCAAGCACACGTCCTGTAGCCTTTGCATACTGTCCCTCCCCTGGTCTGAAGCCTGCTGTTTCTGGGTGTGTGGGTTGCAGGGGATTCTGAATTCCACAGACTAGTTAAGAAGCCCCTTGTACAAGACTGAAGTGGGTACATGGTTGATGCAAAATGAATTTCATGTTCAGCCAGCATACATTATAAAGTACTAACATTACATCAGAATAAATTATTTTTGTAGCTTTCAAGGTAAGTGCTTCCAGCTTGCTTGCATGCATGCATGCATGTACACGTGTTCCAGAGAACAGTTTTGGACAGCCTCAGATAGGCACAAAGTTAGAGTGCAGCCCTTCTGTTGCCACTGTTTTAGTCTCCCCAGCATGGCAAATTAGCCCGGCCTGGGTTCCACACTGACGAGGATAGAGTGCTGCCAGTATCCGAGCTTGGGTATCTCTAAAGTACACTGCAGGCACTACTGTTGCTACAGTGGAGACATATCCACAGCTGTTAGAGTCCTTATATAACTTCTCTATGATAGCAGTGATTTGAGACAACAATTCAAACTACTTGGCTGCAATACGTATAATTGAAAAACCTTTAGGGAGCTAAAAAATTCTTTTCTAGCTTGTATGTTTTGGAAAAAACAAGCTTCAAAACCATTTAGCCAAATCAGCACGTGTATCTGCAGTAGATCTGTAAAGCTAGCTCTCTGGAATAATTGGTGCTCCTGGAACCTTGTTGCTGTATATGCAAAGTTTCATTTGTCTGACCTAGCACAGTAAAATAAATATTTTGTAATACAATATTAACACTGCTCTTTGGAACTATTTTCAATACAGTAAACAGATGTATCCAGTGCGCTTGATAATGGTTTTGTACAGTACGTATGTGCACGTGTCTGCATGCGTGCAGTGCGATATAACCCAGATGGCCTGCAGCCTACCTAATTTGCCGTAGGTTGCTAAGTGAAAAACAAGCTGCTTACTTCAAGGGAGGTAGCATTTCTACACTTACCTGGAGTGCAGCAGTGCTTCCACACACCTCATAGATACTTAAATTGAGGTGAGCCAAAGGGTTGTTTGTGGCCTGCTCCCAGCGCGCAGAGCCAATTTTGTGGGCATTTCGTGGTGGCCCCGCCGCTTGGCGCTGAATGGCAGAGAGGTCCCAGAGGCGAGGACGGATGAGGAGGCAGTCACTGTCTTGAGTTAAGATGACTGCCCATTGTGCTGCCCCGCCCCTCAGTGCTGATTGGCGGAGAGCCCCAAGTTGGGGGGAGGAGGGACAAGGGGGCTGCTATCTTGTCTGCTGCCCTTTGGACTTCCTGTGCCTACCCCTCATGGCAGTGAAGACTGCTGGCTCCCACTGTGGAGCCAGCATTTTAATTTCATTAAGTTTCTTTTTGTTGATTTCACAGTTTTTTGCTGACAATCCTGGATTTTGTGGTTTCTGCAAAATCTGTGAAACCATGAATTAAGTAGCTCCCTAGTGATGGAGGAACGGTGCCCTCTGAAGCCGTCAGCTGGAAGACCACAGCAGTCATGCAGAGCTGTGTGGTGTGGTTGGGATAGGTTCCTGGCTCATTTCAAGTCTCTAGTCTAGCAAGGGAAAAGTAACCAAACCCTGTGAATATTTTAGGCTCTACTGTAGAAGCTTGCATTTTAAAAATAAAAATATGACTTTTTTGTGGTCTGGGATATTTGGAGGATTGCTGAAATTTTCTTTAATTTTTAAATTGCTTAGCTTATATCAAAACTCACATTTGTGGCAAATTCAGTAAATTCATCTTGGAAAATGATGGGTTTTTTTTCGGTTGAGAGCCTAACAAGCACTTCTTGCTTGTTACATTTATATTTTGTTTAGTAAGTTTATAAAGGAGAATGTGTATAGATAGTGGAGAGTGACACATTATAATTTTTAAGTAGTAGAGTTGACTTGTGGAGATACTTAAAAATGAAACAGTGTCTAACAGTACAATCCTCCATTCTTTTAGGTGACATAATTAAAGCATCTGAGCTTGAGGGATATTTACGCAAACTGTACTGCAATGTACAAGTTTAATGGAACACTGTTCATCTTTATATTGCCGTAAACACTTCAGAGTTGAGAAACTGAAGGAATTTCAAAAATTTAGTTTATTTCTCACCATTCATCTTTACTACTTGCATTTGCTCAGCTGCATCAATAAATATTGAGTTGTCTTTTTTCCATTAGTTAATAGATTGTGTCTTTCATAGTAATATACAAGTGTACTGAATACAAAATAACACCAAGTAATATCCACTGAAAAGTAAATAATGGCTCATACAGGAACTGTTAAGGGAGTAGTTATATACTTCAATTGTTCAAGTATCAGTTTGGGAAAATAAAGTTAGCTATCAAGCAAACTACTACAAAATAGATGTAAACACAAAACCCAAATTAATAAAAGACTAATCAAACAAATACTAGGCAAAATAAATGAATATTTTTTCCAATAAATTAGTTCACTGTGGCTCTCGGAGGTACTTGTATTTGGGCACAGATTCAAAGGAATATTCAAATAGAAACATTTTTTTCCTTTGCTGGCTAAAAGTAATTCCTGTTTTTTCCTTTTTCTTTAATAACAACATTTTCTTAAATATTTTTATGCAAAAAAAAAAAAAGAAAGGACCAGGTGAGAGGGACGACGCCTCATTTCCCTAACCATGTACCTTTCGAAACATACATACTGGTGTCGTAAAATATACATAACATGAGTGATAATTGTATTCACCCAATAATGTTGATGTAATAAATATGCATATACTGTGGCATTGCATGTTTTACTGGCAGATATGGTGCCTGGATGAATTAAAATCATATAAAGTAGAGAGTGAGCTATAGAAAGTGTATCTTCAATGGTTTAGTTAACTTTTCTAAATACATTCTAATTTTCTTCCCTTGATTTAAAAAAAAAAAAAAAAAAAATGTAAAAGGCTCAGTAAGCTTACATTAATTTATTTATTTTCAGGTCGTGTATATGCTGTCTTGTCCAAAAGAGAAGGCAGAGTGTTACAAGAAGAGATGAAAGAGGGGACGGATGTGTTTATTATTAAGGCGGTGCTGCCAGTAGCAGAAAGCTTTGGTTTTGCTGATGAAATCAGGAAGAGAACGAGTGGCCTGGCGAGTCCACAGCTGGTCTTCAGCCATTGGGAGGTAAAAAAAAAAAAAAAAAAAAAAAAAAAAAGAAAAGAAAAAAAAAGGAAAAAGAAAAAAAGAACCCCAAACAAAACAAAACCTTCCCTTCTCTCCATCTGTTTTGGTGATCTATTTCCTGTAGATGTGGCAGAAAGGAATAATAAGGGGGAAAGGTTAAGTTTTGGTCAAGACATGCATTTTCTTCAAAATAAAGAGAGAAAGTAGCTTCTTTATTATTCTATTTTGCTTTTACAGATATGCTCTTCAGCAATACATATTTCTAACCCTTTTTGGAGGGTTTACATTTTTCTGCACAGTAAAATAAGTATTTTAGAAAACAAGATGACTTTTCAAATACATTTTTCCTGGAGTTTGTATGGTTTTGTTTTTCATGTAGATTCTGTAAGTGTTACCATTAGGTTAAGATGGGTCAATGAATATGAAGCATGGGATAGAAGTAATCTTTAATTGACTAGAAGACTTTTCTAGATCTCTACCACTGGTCTGGTAATTCAGTCAATATGCATTTATGTACCAGAAATCAGGACAAATAGATTGGGTCTTTCCAGATCAGATTGGTGGTGAGGATGCAAAAGTGTCTCAAACTAATTTCTTTTCCAGAGGAAACTATGTCCATCTTTTGGCATTTTGAAAATAAAGGGGGAGATGAAAGTGATGTCTCTTGAAAGGGACAATTGGAAGTGAGGAGTCTTCTAAGAAATGGAATCAGTTGAGAAATGCCTAGTCCTTTGTTGCCACCATACAGATAGTTGATCTTGAAGTACAGCAGACAGGGAAAGCTTTGAAAGTCAGCTCTTCTGTTCAAAAGGAACAATAATGCATAGCAGAAAGAGTCAGAAGACCCACTGATGGTACTAAAAGCAGGTTAAGGAGGAACGAGAGTCAGCAAGTTTAAGTCACTCATTTAAACTTTATATTTCAAAAAAATTAGCTGAAGTGTAGGGTTTTTTGATCATTTATTTTTCGTTTCATGTATTTTGAAGTACAGACTTCAAAGACTTTGATAAATGGATTAAAAGGCCTAATTTTTATTGCATCATTTGCTGAGTTGCTATTTTGTGACTTCATAAATCAACTCTCCCCTGTGTAGTACAAATGAGATCTATTTCTTACAGTGATAACGTACTACAAGGTTGCCAGCTATCATCTGTAGACCACTTTGTCTATTTGATGGTCCATAAAGAGCGAGCAGGTCACATGATGCTGGCTGGTGCTTATTTCCAGCTGATAGATTGCCTTGGAAGGCAGTAGATTACATTATATACTTTTATTGTGTTTCTTTTCTAGAAGCAATTGCTGTAGTAGGTTTGGAACAATGATATGATGGCCAATAGAAAGGAAGGAGGGTCCAGGCAATTGCCACTGAGATCCGCAACAAGTTTGGACACCTGATCTAGAACATTTGGGAAACTACTTTTTAAATGCTTCTCAGTGATGGCTTCTGCTATCACAAAATGCAGTGTGCCAGGAGCTTTATTGTTCTATTTCAGGATCAGTCCTGTTCTCATCTCAGCCTCTATAATTTAGCATTCCATACATTTATCCTAGTGTACAAGCTATACACTAAAATGTAGAAAAGAAGGGAAAAGGCTGAGATCTTCAGCTTCATAGAGAGGCAGAGAAGTGTAGATGATGTGTGGGTTAACACTAATAAAGGAAGAATTAAAGTTAAAATGGAGAGCAGAATAGAAAAAAATCATGGGAAAGAAAAAAGCTAAAAGTAATAGAAAGGGAAGACATAGACCAAAAACCTCAAATGAGACAGCTTTAGGGATGTGTGGATCCATCACAAATTTGGTTCTCCAAACACAGTGGCTAGAAACCCTTGTGGGAAGTGGTTTGCAGCTTTGGGAGCACTCATTTGAAGTGCAGCTGATAACAGATGTGGCTGGTCTCCTATGTAAGAAGACAGAACTGCCTCCACTATTGGTGTTCGAGAGGTGTGTATCGTTTTGGAAGTCACCAGTTCTGAAACGTACAACTTCTGTGTTCACACTAAATACATGCATGTGTCTGTAAACACCCTGATTTTTCTCAGTTGCATGGTAAAAAGTGTTTATGCATAACACGTGTACACAGTTTCTTCAACTGAGCCACAGTTTTTGTAATTGCTTGCACAAATTTCCAGTCACAAAAATAAAATTGCGAAAGTTACAAAAATGAGGGCCAAACTGTCTGAGGCAAATGTTCTCTGGCACCACGTGTGCACTGATCCTTGGTATTTTACTGTGGGTTTTTTTAGTTTTGATGGAAGAGAGAACCTGGTTTGTGTGTCAAAGCAGAAGGGACATATGTCCCCCTCTACATGTTATATAAGTGTGATGCAAGTAACTGGCTAATTATGCAGATGCCTTGTGACCAGGTACACATGCCAAGTACTTACCACACCATAAAAAGTACTATAAAGTACTAAAGGAGGCAGTTATATTAACTTTGTAGCTGGCTGCTATGAAGCTTTAATTTTCACATTTTAGCAGGGTCTCCCCTGTGGCTGGAAGCCCTGTCAGTTTGATGGGGTTCCCAGCCAAAGGGGTGCACCAGACCCAGCCAGGGCTGGGAGTCCTGCACTTAAGCGGACTCTCAGCCCTAGCAGCTGCTGACTCTGAGTCCTGGCAGCACCCCACAATGGCAAGAACCCAGAATCCTGCAGTTGTGGACACTAGGAGCAGGCAACTGTGGGGTGCAGCTATGATTTCCAACCCCCAGGGGTGCAGAGAGACCCCAGGGCTGGGAAATTGCAGCCTCTGTGTTCTTCTCTTCTCAGGGGTTCCCCACACTCCTAGGGCTGAAAGATCGCAGCAGCTGCATCTCCCAGCCATGGGGGGAGCGTGGGGCACCCCCACATCTGGGCACCCCTTGCAGCTGAAGGGAATCCCAGGTGCAGCAACTTGCTCTTTGCTGGTGCTTTGGGGAGCCCAGGATTAGGGTCTCCCTGTACTGGCAGTAAGGTGCTATAGGATCTAATGTGCGATCCCACAGTCACGCTTCCTGCCACGCAGGTGTGACATGGCAAAAGGTGCTATTGTGTTGATCGCACATTAGATCCCATTGTGCCTTAACTTGCATGTGTAGAGGGGGCCTATAAATCACTTTCTGTAGTTTTGTCAGGTTTTTTTTCTTTGAAGTTTAGTCCATATTTAGACTCGTTTGTGAAAATATTTTAAGTGTATGCCTAATTGTGGAGGTACTGGAAACCCATGATATCCAAGCCCAGTTTAGTAAAATAATGTTCCCTCTATGTGGTTTGTAGCTGCAATGACTTGACAAAAGCAGTTTCAACGTTGTAGTGGCTTGGAGATGAGCTTATAGTGTTTGTCCTGTGCATTTCTTACCTGATCAGCTTTTTAGTAACTCAATAAGCCATCAAGAAGCACTGATTAAAAAAAATTATGGCTAAATTATATTATGTTTAAGCAGATCCCAGTCGAAAAATGAATATCTGCAAATATATTAAGAAAAAAATTACAGCCTCTAAATTTGCCTCCTCAGTCTGGAACCTGACACAAGGCTGCCTATGAGAATATAGAAAAATGTCTTTGAATAATAACTGCTGCTCCCCAGATTTAATATTAAAATGTTTGTAATATGTTTTGTCAAAGCTGGTATTGGAGTATTTTGGCCTCCAGTATGTAAAGAGGCAGGAATGTGTTGGTGGAATACAGAGGGAATTTTGAGTGGCTTTTAGCAAACACAAAAATCGAGGCTTGAGAGGGAATTTTAATTAGTCCAAATATTAAAAGTTAAGGATCATCAAAGAAGTGACTGTAAATATGTCACCTTTCTAAGCAGATCTGCTTTTTGTCCGTTCAGAGTAATTTTCACTTATTTTTCTGAAAAAAAAGAACTTTTTCCTATGCTGATGGCTCTGTTGGCTCGCAGCAGTGGTGGGAGAGGGAGTGAATTCTACTCGCACGTCAACAGAATTGTTAAATAAGTACCATTTGCAGAAGCTCTACTGGTGGTGCATTGTACGTGCCAGAAAAAACATAGCTTGTCCTTTAGAACCTGGGAGATATTTGCAAGGCTGGCAGTCTTTTTGCTAAGGAAACTAACAAAATATGATTAAAAATTAAGATGGCATTCACCCCTATCACATATAGAATGACTCTGCATGGTACTCCCACACTTTAAATACCAAATCAGGTTTGGTAAATTGCCTCTTTCCCATTTTGGTTGGTAAGTGCTGATTATGAGTGCAGTTTTTATTTGAATCATTATTATTGTAAGACGTTTTGATTTTCATTTGCATGGATTCCACTCCCTGGGCATATGTATTATGATACACATTTTTAATTAGAAGATCCCATGCTGTCTTTTCCCACTGGACCCTGTCCCTCCGTATAGACAATGCTGAGCTACTGAGGCATTCATTCAATATTTTGTCATCCTTCAATTTGTGGGCACTGCCTTAGTAACTGCACACCCTTTAAACCCCATGGTGAATACTGAATTGTTCATATCCTCCTGATCTCTTCTGAGGTGTTCATCTTTGTAGTGTCCGAGTTGTTCCCATTCTTGTAGCACCTGAGTGCATCACAGTCGTAAATGAATTTACCAGTGTATACAGTGAAAAACAAAAGGAGTATTATCTCCAGCTTACAGATGGGGAAAATGTGATAAAGATATTTTCCTGGGGCTATGCAGTGCATCAGATTAGACAACGTATAGTAATATTCCATGCTCACTGATGTTGGCATGGTGCCAAAATTTTGTTTCAGTATAAGAAAATGGAAGCAATGATTTTTTTTTAGCAATTTAACTGCTAAATTTGAAGAGAATTTTAGGGAACGCAGTAAAAACACTTCTCTAGTCTGAGCTTTTTTAGCAACAACTGTCGACAACAGTTACAGAAAAAGGAGCTACTACAGTTTCCTGGAAGAAGGTGCAGGATTTTTTTTGGAATGGAAGGTGATAGACCACCCTACTAGCTCCCCTTCTTGGTTGAGGTTGTACCGGTATTTGTATTTAAACTTCAAATCTTCATACACCATTCAATT